GGGTAGTGGTTGAGGGGCAGGGTTGATTATCCTGTTGTTTCTTAGTTCGAAAAAAGAACAACATTGAAGTATACATAACGCAAGTAAAATACAAGAAATTTGAACACACATGACAACTATCTTTCAAGTCTCTTTAAACTGTATCGATATACCCTAAAGATTGATAAATTTCCTAATCCTTTGCACATTGGTTGATGGGAACAGAGTAACTTGTACTTTTTGATTTATTATATTATAAAACTATTTATTATTATTATAAGACTATTTGTTATGTGTAAAATCAAATGACAGGACAAACAAAGATCATAGTGTTGTCGTTGAATAAAAACATTGTCTGAGATTCAGCAAATTTTTGATGATGGTCAATTGTGATAAAGTGAGGGAATATCAATGTTATGTTCTTCTCTGATATAATCAATCATACATCACATTGAACTATAAAATATAAATTTTAATCAAATCGATCAGATCAATTGAACCACACATTTTGTGCATTACGTAAAATCTTGCACTGGACATCTCAAACCCAGAAGAATATTTTGACCGGACCTGAACATTTTGGTGGAATATTTGGTTCATTATAATACAAAATGAATATATTTGCCACCATCAACCCTTTGTACATAGTACACCAACCAAAACTTACTAGGTGCAATATTTTGCATATTTTTATCATGGTTTCAATTGACTAAAATGTATTGATCACAAATATTGAAAACATATGGAGAAAATTGTGCAGGTTTATCATAATTTTATGAACAGTACATGGCAAAAGCTGACTGGTGTTCAATGAGTGAAATCAGTAAGGTGCAATTCAACATTTCAAGGACATGAAAAAACAGTGCTTACTGTCTGTGTCTTGTACGAATAAAACTGGTCCTTTTCATGTAACTTGAAAGCTTCAAATATTCTTACTGCATCATCAATCGATATCATTTTATCCTTCACCTGTTTCTGTATGTTAATAAGCTCTTTCTGTGCAGCGCTGTATATCTCAGATGGATCTTCTATGGTTTTACCTGGACCTTATTGCAGATAGTGAAATGTTAAAAAGTAATTATAAGACGAGGGTATGCAATGAAAATGACATAAGAAGCAAACACTTGCACTTTGTGAGTGTTTGAAAGCAATAGGTGATTTTCCGTACAATTGCGAGATCTCGCGAGATGCATGAATGAAGCGCGTCAAACGTCTGCCGCAAAAATCGAACGATTTGATTTTGAACTAGAATTTCTTTAATTCGTAGCTTACATTGACCGGCCGATCTTCGACAGAGGAATATTGCATCCGAATACCCTTATTTAATCGAAATTGCCTATCATCAAATGTGGACAGCACATTATTAAGCATGGAAATGTCCCCGAAATACTTTCACGTTTGTCGAATCCTACGCGATGTTTGACGCGACTACAACGCTATGACCTTTGTTTGTCCTGTTTTTACGTTCGATTTCACGCATAACGCGTGATTCTCGCAGTGAACAGAAAATGGT